GAATTGAACCCACTCCTGTGGCTTCCAGCCAAACAAAAGACAGGCATATGAGGTGAATATTTACATTAGGGTACATATACTCCTTGGAGAGAACAATCCTGGGAGAATCAAAGGGTTGTGTATGTACAGAGAGATGCCTCAGGGGGCAGGAGTACATGGGAGGGAAGGACACAGGGAAGAAGTAACTATGGGGAAGAAGTGGGAGGGGAACTGTTACATTGTGGGAAATTGTACTCAATGTCATAAGACAAAGTGTATGTGAACTGCTGTATGGAAAGTGAATTTACTCTGTAAACTTTCACCCAAATCACAATTAAAAAAAAAATGTGTGTGTGTATAAAATTAAATTAAAAAAATAAACTTATAAAAAAATCTAGAGGATATTCTGAGCATCAATAAGTATAGTAATGAATCATAAACTGTTGCAAAATATAAGAACATGTGAGTTCACACGGTTAAAAATTAAACAAGAAAACATAAAGACACAGAATGCTGACAGTCAACTAAGAGTGGAGGGAATGCACGAGCCAGAAAATTATAATTTTGCAACAAGCAGTATAAAGACTGTATCAGGCAAGATTTATCAATGGGTGCTAAATCTAGGGAGGATTTTGATGAGGAATAGGGTATTTGCTTGGTTTTAAAGTAAGTGCCCACAAAAGTGCTTATTAGTTGCAAGGGAAGGAGGAAAACAGCATTATATAGTGGCAATCAGGTAACACCTTGCCTGGGTGATGACCAATGAGGGACAGATGGACAACGTGTGCCTCCAAAGGTGATATACTAAGAATGCATCACCTATGCAGTACTGCCACCTAGAATGCATAACCTCTAACCATGAAGTCTAATCATGAAGAAACATCAGACAAACCCCAAAATGAGAAGCACTCTATTTAAAAAAAGGCAGAAAGGAAACAATCTATATTCGTAAAAAATGTCCATGTTCCACAAAGGGAAGGGTTGGGCACAGGGAGGAAGTGGGAAGAATGCTATTACAGAGGGAGGGCTGCAGTAAATGTCACAAAACAGAATGTGTACAGACTGTGGAATGGAAAACTAATTTGCTCCATAAATTTTCACCCAAATCACATACACACACAAAATGTCCATGTTCCAGATTAAAGGAAGCTAAAGAGACATGGTGGCATAGTGCCTACGGCATCTGACTGCTAATCAGAAGGCTGGTGGTTTAAACCCACCAGCCACTCCTGGGAAGGAAGATTTGGCAATCTACTTCCATACCGATACCGCCTTAGAAACAGAAGGATGGGGTGCTATGATTCAGATCCAACTTGACAGGAGTGTGTTTGGCTTTGATTCTGGTTAAAGAGACATGAAAACCCTAGACTGCATCTAGCACCAGAGCAAAGAGAAACACTATGAGGACATTACTCGGTCAGTCATGTGACAAAACTGGAATATGAACGATAGATTAAAGTATTTTATCAATACAACTAATTGTACTATAGATACATAACAGAGTATCCATATGCCTTGGATACAAACACTGAAGTATTAATGGATAAAGGGCTATCATGTAATAAATACGTAATGATCAAATGCTTCAGAAAAAAAATCATGTGCTTGTATGTATGTAAACAAATACATATGCATTTATACATATGTGTTTTTATATAGAGAGAGAGTAAGAACATGCAAATGATGAAACAAATGGGGAATATTGAGTTGAAAGTATACAGGTATTCTTTTTTTATTTTGCAATTACCTGTCAGTCTCAAATTACTTTAAAATTAAAACTTAGAAATAAATTCCAATAGATCAATGTACATTTTCTAAGAGATTTCCTTGTAGCTAAAATATCAAGAAACTCAAACTAATCACCTTTATTCAGTACCCAATGAGTGTAATTGATACCTGGTTATAGTGGGTTTCACAGTATGCCAGGCCTTTCCTCTCATAATGGCGATGTCCAAGAAATGGCTTTTCACACTTGGCACAAACAAAGTGCTGGGGGAAAAAAAATTGCTATAGGTCATTTCTGATTTGCCTTATTTTGTTCTGTGAAGTAAAACTCCAAAATTAAAATATCCTCAGAGAAGAATATATGAAATTTTAAGGTAGTAATTTCACTTGTCATTAAGTATTCCCTCTAACAATTTTACTAACAGTCTTAATTCAGGAATCTGTGAGTCTTTGATAAGCTACTTTCAGACAAAGTCTATTCAAACAACACAGAACAGAAAAGAGATGGAGATCTTAGAAGCATCTGTAAGAGAAGAACTGTTATTGGATATGGATCATGAGACTTTTTATTTAATGATATAAGAACAAAAGTGCATATCACAAATCATTTACTGAAAGATCACAAATGCAATGTATAGTCTATATTCTCATTTTTCTACAAAACCAGTTCATTTAAAATGTCCATATTTAACTTTTAGAATATCCTAATCTTGTTAGCTAACCCAAACCATGGATTTTCAAAAATACTCCTGTATCTGTGTATCTTTGTCTGAAATACAAATGGTGAAGCACTTGACTACTGGCTGAAATGTTGGCTGTTCAAACCTATCCAATGGCACCTTGGAAGACAGGCTTAGTAATTTGCTTCTAAAGCCTTGAAAACCCTATGGAGCATTACTACTCTGCACATGTGGTGTCATTATGAGGCAAAATCAATTCGATGGCAAGTAACAACAACCTCTATTCCCATTAGAACTCACCTCCACATGCCACTGCTTGCCCATGGCATTTACCACACGCCCTTCAATGGGCCGTCGACAAGCACCACAGATGGGGACTCCCATTTTATCATGGCATGGCAAGCAGTACAGTTCGCCTTTCAACTCCCGGGCATCAGCAGTCAGTTCCTTCCTGTTGATGAGAAAGATATCCAGCTGAATAATACAATCCAGAGGGAGTAAAATCAGATAACCTTACTTTTTGGAAGGTTTTTAAAGAAATTATTATAACAATATCTGATACATTTTTATTTTTATTCTTAGAATTAGGCAGAGTAATCTGAATTAATAGGCTTGAATAGGTTTCAGATTCTTATCAAAACATTAATATTGTATAATAATATTTGAGAATAATTCAGACACATACAATCACACAGGTAATATTTACCATTTTTTTGTTATATTATTATCACATCACATTTACCCACCAGTAAAAAGCTAGAGAATAGTCACAGGGCAAAGGGAAGATTCAGTGATACTGTCTTTCCAAAATAACTGAGTAGTTTGGAAGCCAGTTCCACGTGTTTTTTTTATTAGGTGTGATCAAGCTGGTTCTGACTCAAAACAACCCTATGACCAACAGAATGAAACACTGCCAGGCCTGCACCATCCTTACAATTGTTGCTGTGTTTAATTAAGCCCATTGCTGTAACCACTGTGTCAGTCCATCTCATTGAGAGCCTTCCTCTTTTTTGCTGACCTTCAATTTTACCAAGTATGATATCCATCTCCAAAGACTGGTTCCTTCTGATAAGATATCCAAAGGTACTTGAGATAAAGTCTTGCCATGCTCCCTTCTAAGCAGCATTCTGGCTGTCCTTCTTCCAAAACAGATTTGTTTGTTCTTCTGATAGCCCAAGGTATATTTAATATTCTTTACCAACATCATAATTCAAAGGCATCAAGTCTTTTTTGGTCTTTTTTATTCATTCTCTAGTGTTCACATGCATAAGAGGCAACAAAAAATACCATGGTTTGAGTCAGGCACAATTTAGTCTTTAAAGTGACATCTTTGTTTTATTAACATTTTAAAGAGGTCTTTTGCACTAGTTTTGCCCAATGCAATACACTGACTGATTTCTAGACTACTGTTTCCATGGGCGTTGATTGTGGATCCAAGTAAAATGAAATCCTCGACAACTTCAATCTTTCTCCATTTATTATGATGTTGCTTACTGGTCCAGTTGTGAGGATTTTTGTTTTCTTTATGGTGAGGTATAATTCACACTGAAGGCTGTACATAGTCTTTGATCTTCACCAGTAAGTGCTTCAAGTCCTCTTTACTTTTTGGCAAGAACGTTATGCCATCTGCGTATTGCAGGTTGTTAATGAGTTTTCCTCCAATTCTGATGCTGCATTCCTCATATAGTCCAGCTTCTCAGATTATTTGCTCAGCATATAGACTGAATATGGTGAAAAGATACAACCCTTACACCACACAGTATCCTCTTTTTCGTTTAAACAATTGCCTCTTGGAGTATTTAAAGGTTCTGCATAAGCAATGTTACATGTTATGGAATTTCCATTTTTTATAATTGTATCCATAATTTGTTACTATCCACATAGTCAAATGTCATTGTATAGTCAATAAAACATAGGTAAACATCTTTTTGGTATTCACTGTTTTCAGCCAAATACATGAAAATCTTGTTCCACAACCTACTCTGGTAAGTAGTGACTGGGGTCTTAAAAGCTTTTGAGTGGCCATGAAAGATGCAGCTAATGGTCGCCTATCGTTGGAAGCGAAGAAGAGTGAAGAAAACCAAGGGCATTTGGAAACAATCAACCCTAGGACACGACGGACCTTGAGACCAGAAGAACTAGATGGTGCCCAGCTACCAATGCCAACCACTCAGGAAGGGATCAAAACTGAAGATCCTGGATAGAGTGGGAGGAAAAACGTGGAATAAAATCCAAAAATACAATAATGACCAGAATTACTGGTTGGATGGAGTCTGGTGGGACCCCAAAACTATGGCACTGGGATATACATCGGGCCTGAGATAAAACTCACTCCCAAGGGCTGGCTATCAGTCCAAAAGTAATTACGACTGACGTGCAGAACACCCAACCCAGGGGGAGGCACCCACCTACTCTATGGAGATATATCCCTTGGAGCAATCGGTCATGGGGCACCAGAAGGGCAGCAGTCACATGGAGGAAAAGCCGGACAGACAGGAGTACATAACTAAGAAGGACACAGGGAGGGGGGCTAGTTACTGGGAAGGGAGAGGAGGAGAGTGGGTTAGGGTTGGGGATGTTACGTAATTGGGGAGTGAAACCAAATGTACACAAAATGCTGAATGTAAAACAAATTCTGCTCTGTAAATTTGCACCTAAAGTAGAATTGGGGGGGAAAAAAAACAAAACCTTGCAAAGGTATGTATGTATGTGCACACATACAGAGAAAGTGCACACACTTCAATGTGGCAAAATATTAACTGATGAAGCTAAGTGAAGGGTACACAGGTATTTGTTATCCTATTCTCTTGACTTTTCTATAGATGTAAAAGTTTCCAAGTTAAAAGTTGGAGAAAATAAAAATAAAGATAAATTTGGTTTGCTGGAGTAATATAAATAATGATCTTTTAATATATTTCCATTATTTGTACAATTAACAAATGTTAAGAAATCATCATACCCGCAGTTGGCACAGTTGAAATGATCTGGATGGTAAGGGTCATTCTTAAATATCAGCGGCTGTTCATCAATGATGGCATGGCATTTCTGGCAAATGTATTTCCCAAGGCCTCTGGCTTTCTCACGATTATGACAGGGGCGACAGAGATGTCTAAATAGAACAAAACTTGTTCAGAAATTTAAATGTAAAATCTAAGGCTTTTTCCTTCCTCATAACTAAAAAGAGGTATCATTCCATATCTCTGGAAAGAAATTAAAGAAGTCATTTCTTAAAAAGTTACTGCTGTGCTTAATAGAGCAGAATCAACCTGCTACTTTTTATAAGAAACATATGAAGTTATACATATATAAAATTATAAAAACTCTAAGGACATAAACAGTATTTGCAAAAATAATGTGGTAAGTATTTATCTCTACCCCTGATGATTTGACTGATTTTCTAGAAACTCCATCTTATATGCCTATTTCCGATTTGGCAGCCAAGGAACGCATTTAGCAGTCCTGCCCAATTGCACAAAATTCTAGGTTTTTTTCCGTAGTAAGCATTAGGTAAGCCACTATGTTGCTGCTGTCTGTGAGTTTCTAACCCTAAATTCAGTGTCCTAGAGCACTGGCTTACACTGCCAGAAAGAAAATGGGCATAATCTTGTGTATCACTTTATCCACATTCAACTGAGAAGATTAAAAAACTCCTACCTTCCTGCATTCTTGACAAACCCTATATCTGCCAGAATTTCCTCACAGATGTCACAGCGGAAACACTCGGGATGCCAGCTGTTATTCATGGCTTTAATAACTCTGCCAATGATGAATTCACCTGTGGAAAAACAGCATATAAAAGATATCCAGTATAGGGAAAAACATTAGGAAAATATATGGTTAAACCTTTTCCCACAAATATGGACCTTTTATGTATGCATCTATCAGAGTAATATATTTGAAAAAAATGCCTTTTAATTTAATCTAAGCCTTTGTTTTTTTCCTACGGCCACATTTTTGGGCTGTTTTATAAAATTTTGAAATCTGGCTTTCCTTTTTAAACCTATGAACTGGGGTTTTTTAAATGTCTTTGTTTCTTTCTGGTCACTGTCAACATAGACAAATGAAATCCACAGCACATTTTCTTATACCCCATATTTCATTTCTTCTTTCATCAAACCTTTAGAATGTTCTACTTAGTTTCTCCAATTTCTAGAAAAATTCTAACAGGGCTGTTAACAACCAGCGAAGTGGCTAAAAGGCTAGCAAGTCAAACACTTAAGTAACACACTGCAACCCTGAAGCATCTGAAGCACCTCACTGATTGTCCTCCCCATCAATGCAATCCTCATTGATTACAAACACAAAAGCATACAGGCAAAGGTTCCATTCAGAAAGGAAAAGAACATTCAAAAAGATTCCCTGAAAGAGGTCCTAGTTAGTTCCTAAGTACCTTTGCTCTTATTGCTGTTGTTTATGTACCTGCATGTCGGACAAGACTCACAGCAACCCCTCCTTAGGTTTCTGAAGCAGTATCACTACGGAAGTAGATTGCCCAACCTTCCTTCCGAGGAGTGGCTGGTGGGTTTGAACTGCCAGCCTTCTAGTTAGCAGTCAAATGCCTTAGGCACTATGCTACTAGAGCTCCTTTACACTAGATATCCTTAAAAATAAATTCTCTCCAGGCTTTGACACTCTTCCAGTTTGCTGTATATTAATAACATGGAAAGGGACTGATAAAGCATCTAAGTTATTTTAATAAGTAACCAAACCATTTTTACAACGGATACTTTACTAGTGTTAAATTATTTTGAAATTTACTACTTTACATTCAATAATAAAACTTACCACACTGATGACAGCAAGGAGCAAAAAGCATCTGAAAATCATGTTCACAATACTTCCTTCCTTCAAACTGAAATAAAAAGTACCATCAACTTATCAACATGAAACAATCACAGAATGGACAGATTAATCTCTGGAGACATATAGGGAATATGCTTTTGGATAAGAACTATGCCCTTAGAATTTATAATTTTAGGGATAATCTGCTGGGATTTTTCAAAGATTTTTAAAAGGCACTTTTGTACCTTTCTATATATCTACATTTTGATAGAAGAAGATACACTCGTAAGTGAGGATTAGAACTAATATTATGCTTCCACAATATAGTGACTTCACCCCTAACTATGCTTAATCACTTTTTGGTTCATATGCTCTAAGAATATGATGAAAGTTACGGACCACTCTCCCCAAAAAACATGTACACACAAAATTTTGCATGCGGTTTTGGAGGGTTCATAAATATCCTGAAATACTTCTAGGATGCCATATTAAGAACTTGTATTATCTGCATAAAACTGTTAAATGAAAGATGTAATTACATTCAGCAGACCCTTCTAATGCCTCTCTTTGGAGGTGAGGGAGAGCAGTGGTACAACTGGGGTAGAGAAACACTACATTAAACTAATAGAAATCAAGAGATACTAAAAGGCAAAGGTAGAGCAATAGATAGTGGCATGAGTGGGGAAAGCTACAGAATTGTTACAGCAATGATATGGGACCACAGATGGAAATGCCACAAGAAGAATGTCTCAGCAGCCCAAGCAGAGTACATAAGTGCTTCAAAATGTTTAGTAACACATTCTGTTTATATATCTATGGTGTAGTAAATTACCTGGCGTGGCTTTTCCAGACATAAACAGTCTTTGTAAACTCCGTGGTGGAATTTGCCATGAGCAACTGAGTATCTCCTGATTGTTAAAGTTATCCATCTGGGGTATTTCTGTTGAGCGTAGCACCAGGCAATTTTCTGGGAAGTTCACTCTCTCTCAGGTGTATAGAATTCTGATGTTGGGATTGGTCTGTTTGGCCACTCTGCCATGTTCAAAAAGGAGTCCTTCTAGAGGAAGAAGGAGTGTCTCTGACTGCTGGCTGAGAAAGATATGCTACTGAGAGAAATGTGCTCCTGAGAGACACTTACTTGCTGAGAGAGAGACGGGAGAGATACGTATTGCTGACAGAGACATGCACTGCTGGGAAAGAGACACTGAGAGACATGCACTGCTGGGAGAGACACTGAGACTGTCGGCTCAGAGACAGTGGGCTAAGAGAGATTGAGCGTGTTCCTGAACTTGAATTGTAGCCTGTTGCTTTCCTAATAAACCCCATAATCTGTGAGTTCCGTGTGGCCACTGCAATGAATTATCAAACTCAAGCAGAGATGTGGTGGGGTGCTATGGGACTAACAGTTTGTGTCAGGGTTGGTGAAAGGGCTGGAGGGAGGCAGCATGTCTGGCCTCACAGGAATAGGCCTTGGGCTATGGGTAGTGAGTCTGTCCTCCTCTTGTGGGGTTAGAAGAGGTCAGAATATGCAGCCTCCCTGACCATTTGGCAATAGCACTTGTATTTTGCAAAGTGTCTTCATACATATTATCTTATGTGATCTTCCCCAAAACCCTGGAAGACAGGTAGGTAAGGAAATATATCTAGAGAGGACAAGTCATTTTCCCAAGGGCAAAGGGTCAGTCAATTGTAAAACTGCATTTTTTTTCTAATCTGGTAGTCAGCAAACTTTTTTGCTCACATATTCCCTTAAGGAACTACAAATACCCTCCCACAATTTCTAGATTGATATCTAAAATTTTTAGTTTAAGTATAAATATGCACAAAAGGTAAATATTCTAGCATATTTTAATAACAACACTTTAAAATGAAACCATTAAATCCCCTCTTTAAATGCTCACAATGGAATCAAATTACCATGATTTGGTACTGATCACATTATTCTTTAAAGTTGAAAACAGCACATTTTTCATTTTTCTCATTGAGCTATTTCTATTTAACTTTCCGCCACAAAATTCTACCCTAGTTATTTTTTATATTTAAGTCTTTAATTGATTACCTTACCATACTTCTCTGCAATTAAAATACTTATACAACATGTAACTTTAAAATCTGTTTTACCTTTTGAATTGATAAAGTTCTAAAGGTTAAAATTCTTTCTTCTGAATTAAGCTATCATTACAATTATTATAATTACACACATATTTAAATATAAATACAAAAAAAATGTGGTTGCTATTTTTTACCTGAAAAGGATATCTTAATGAAATAAGCAGGGCTGCCTACAATTTCCCTACAATTATTCATGTGTCTGTGGATAAATATGACTCACTGCTGTAATGAGCCAGGGTTCAACATTAATTCTAGGTCTACTTTCTATTTGGAGGCTTGCTTATTAAAAAAAAAAAAAAAAGGATATATGTGCTAAGACCTAAGTAAACTACCAGAATTGTATTGCAATGTCTCTCCTTGATGCTTTAGGCTTCCTACAAGTTACATGAGAAAAACCACAGTGTTCAAGGACCATAATCCATTTTTAATCATGTATCAATTGCCAATTCAACATTGTCAATTGTGGCTACAGATTTAGCCCACTCAATTTGTTGAAAATATCTACCACAGCTTAATTGGCAAAACTATTCCTCACTGTCAACCAGCCAAATCAGATTTATTTTCTGCCAGAAGTTTTACTTCATTTTTAAATTCAAATGAATGAAATCTAACATACTTAATGTATCCATTTCTATGTTATAAACAGATATTAATAAATCAGTGTGCTGTTTCTCAATTCTCAGTTTGTAACAATGCATTATAATTTGTACCCAAAAGTGGAAGTTATTTATGAAGTGAGATACATTCCTTCTTTGAATATGTATTATATATATGTTTAGAAATCTGATGTTTAGCTTTATTAGTAATTAAAAAAAGAAATCAAGTATAAAAACTCTGAAATAATTTTATAAATTTAATAAAAAATAAATTTTTATTCTCTATTTAATAAGATAAAAACATGTATGTTGCTTAAAAAAAACAAAACTAGTCTAGCAGTTACTACATATATTTTCATCCACTCCTCACTTACCATCATGATTAGGTTCCAAAGATCAGGTGATTATATGAAAATTGGCATTACGCACAATTGGGGGCCATGCCCTGTCTTCAGAGTGGTATGTCTCAAGATGCCCTTCCTCAGCACCACGGAACCCACAGGGGTTGGGTGGTAGTGACTAGGGGTTGTGCGCTACCCACCGCCTCCCACCCTGGTCAAGGACCCTGCTTGTCCTCTTGTCTGCCTTGCCCTGCAGCCCCACATGGTGCTTTTCCCTCTCTTTCCTTTCCCATCTACCTCATTGGCCTTCTGGCACCTTTGGACCCTTACTTAGCCTCACTTTGCCCTCCTGTGACCTCATGTTATCTTGTCAGCACCCCCTGCCATCTGTAGCCAGACTGAGGTATCACAGACAAAAGGCAGAAGGTGTGCCACAGCTGAATGGCTGCTATCCTGTGCATGACCTGATCATCAATGAGGCCTCCAGTGTATCATTCAGGGTGGTCCATGGAAAGTGTACTGGGCCAGGCTATGGCCCTGTGTAGGGCCTGGACCATTGAAGGCTCTACCTAAGAATTTTTTGAGTTGGGGAAGATGCCCTGGGTACAGTCATAGCACTACATGGGGCCTGGATTGCCAGAGGTGCTATGTGACAATTTTTAAAAAATCCCCCTATAAACTGTTGAAAATCATGGCCCAGCCAAGTTAACAAATATCTTTAATAATCACAGCAAGCATTACTCTTGCCTCATACCTCAGCTTTCATTACTGCCAGACATATGTTGTTAATGTGCAAAATAGCTGGATAGTAGATTTTTTACTATGTCATAAATGCAAATTATCAAGTAACAAGATACATGATAAGTGAAGAGTAGGTGTATATTGTATTTGTTAGTAGAAGGTAAAATATTAAAATAAACATATAAAATACAGTTAAATTAGGATCTACTGTAATTTGAATAAATCTTTCAAGATGTGAATTAAAATAGGTAGCATATCATAGGAGTTAAGAACACTGACTGTGAGTTCTGGCAAGATGGTGGACTAGGCAGAAAGACTGCACAGACCCTCTTCAACAAAGCAAAGGGGAACCAATTAACACAGACACGGAAGATAATCTTGGACCCCTGAGCATTGAAGGGGAGGATATAGAAGTGGACTAAACCCCAACTAGCAGAAGAATTTGCATGAAAATACCAAAAAAGGAAACAGATGGAGCTGCGATCTGGCAGCGATCCTGAGTGATCCTGATGGCACAGACAGCTTGGAGATTCCCGAGTGGTGGTAGAACCAAAGAATTAACCAAAAAATCAGCCCTGCTAGGCAGGGACTGCACAGAGGACTGCTCTGGTGGCTGGGGAATAAACAGAGAAGGTGAAGAGAAAGGCGGGCTGAGCTGTGGACTTTTGCCAGTCCGGAGGGTGCTGCAATTTTGAAGGTTTAAAAGTGGATTGACTATTTTGGATATTTAAAGAGACAGCACACTCGCAGATTCCTAGAGCTTAAGAACATGTTCTGCTTTCCAGAAACCCCAAGGTCACTCCAGACCTGCAAGACTGAAAAGTTTTTTGATTGTTATTCAATTGTAATTTGTGTCTAACTGAGTGGGAGACAACAACAGTCCCCATAAGACACAACTGCACCCACACCTCCTGCAACTTCACTTACTGAGCAAGAGCCACTACCTCCTTCTCCAACAACGGGCCAA